CAGAAGAGACATTTTCACTTAGGAAGCAGAATCTGGTTTTCTTTTCTTTTTTGAGACAAGGTTTCACCCTGTCACCCAGGCCTGTGTGCACTGGTGCGATCAGAGCTGACTGCAGCTGCCACCTCCCCAGCTCAAGCAATCCTCCTGCCTCAACCTCCAGAGTAGCTAAGACCAAAAGTGTGCCCCATCACACCCAGCTGATTTTCTTTTTTTGGTAGAGACGGGATCTTGCTATGTTGCCCAGGCTTGTTTCAGTTCTCTATCCATGTCACCAATGCACATGCCCAGGGTAGGGTCAGTGGACACGGTCCTGGCCCCATGGCACCCTGTTTCCCCACACCCTCGCCCAACTGGCCTTTTAGACTGGACAGCACCTTCCAGCACAGAAACCAAGGGCAGGATGACCAGTCGTGCCTGCTGGTCACCCTCCCCAGCACACCCCAGAGCCTTGCTTTCCGACACTGAGGCTACAGGACCGAGACTTCCTGAGGGGAAGCTCAGGGTCTCGGAGTCTCAGGGCAGGGAGGCGGGACGATGCATTGGCCACAACAGCTCTCTCATCACCCGTCCCCCAAGTCAGCCTTGAATACTCTCTTGGTCAAGGATTTCCAGGCCGTGGCTTTGCTGGGGGCTGGGGGTTCCAAAGGAGCCCTCTGGGTTTGGTAGGTGGGCTCACCTTCTAGCAATCAGGCCCCGCCTAGCCCTACCCTACAGGTAGCACACAAATGTGTCCCGGGGGACACTGCCATTTCTAACCCTGCAGCTCTTCTGTGAACTACCTGCAAATAACCAGATGCGTGAGGGACCCTCAGCTCTGGAGAGGGGTCGGGGAGTTGGCCCTCCTGGCCAATCCCAGCCAGACACGCAGCCTGCACGTGCAGTTCTTCAGATCTGCCACTAGAGGGGACCCTCGAGCCAGCCTACCTGCTCTGCCCACCCCGGGGGGACTCAACTCCCAGTTAATTAATAGACCCCCCCACCCCTCAAAGTGGCAATGGGTACCCCCGACTCCTCAACACCAACACCCCTGCAGAGTGGCCAGTTCTCTGGGGGCCTCAGCCCTGAACACCAAGCGTGCTAGCGCTATCTCCTCCCCCCACTCTCTCCACCATCCTTGTCTCTCTCTGTCCCCCCCACCACCCCAGGGCACCAGACTTGGGCTCTCTCTCTGTGTGCACTCTCTCTCTCTGTCTCTCTTTCTCTCTCTCTCTCTCTCATTCTCCCCCCCCCCCCCCCTCTCTCTCTCTCTCTCTCTCTCTCTCTCTCTCTCTCTCTGCGCCCCTTCGCATCAGGGGTTCTCAATGCTGCCTGAACTTCACAAACTCCCAGGGAGTTCAGAAAATTCCGATGCCTGGGCACCGCTCCAGCAGCCCTGGTTTAATTGGTCTGGGTGCAGCCTGGGCATCAGGATTTTTAAAGCTGCCCAGGGCATTCTCATGGGCAGCGGGGCTGGGGACGCCTGCTCTATAGCATCCAGGACAATTAACTGTCTTAGCCAAGGATCTCCAGTCCCTTCACATGAAGGTCCTGGGGGATGTGGAGGGAGTGAGGAGCACCAAGTCTGCTTCCAGGGTCTACCATGCTGTGGGGACCAGGAAGTGCAGAGGAGCAAGGAAAGGCCGGGGAAGTGCAGAGCCTGCCCAGTCCCTTCCAGAATCCATGTCTGTTCTTTTTCCTTTTTTTTTTTTCAGACAGGGTATGTCTCTGTTACCCAGGATAGCGTGCAGTGGTGTGATCACAGCTCACTGCAGCCTCCGACTCCCAGGCTCAAGTGATCCTCCTGTCTCAGCCTCCCTCCCGAGTAGCTGGGATCATAGGCTCACACCACTATGCCCAGCTAATTGTTTCATATTTTTTATAGAGACAAGGTTTTGCCATTTTTCCCAGGCTGGTCTTGAACTCCTAGCCTCAAGTGATCCACCTACCTTGGCCTCCCAAAGTGCTGAGATTACAGGTGTGAGTCACAGCAACCGGCCTCCATATCTACTTTTTAAAAATAAACAAGCTCTCAGCAGTCTGTCTTGGAGACAGGCTGTTTTCACTCCAGCCTCAAGACTGAAGCACACACTTCTGGGGTGGGGGTGAGAGTCCCATCCACATCCACCTCATCCCAGCACAAAGCTGCACCTCACCATGTTCATCAGGCCTCCCCTGGAGCCGGCTAACAGGGGCCTGAGGGGCGAGCCGCGGCCAAGAGGCATTTTCTGAGCCTTGGTCAGGAGCAGCACCCCCCAGCACAGCCTCCAGGTGGGAACGGGACAGGTCCCAGGCCAGGCTCGCTGACACCATACCCCAGGCTGGCGCTCAACCTTCATGCAGACTCCGCCCTACAAGGAGGCTCTTGGCCGCAATTCAGACCCTTGAGGCATCTGCATTTTGGACGTGGGAGGTAACGGCCACAAGATCACATACAACTCGGGGTGATGCCAGGACTAGAAACAGATCTGTCAGGCTCCAGAACTTGTTCCTTCACCACCATCTGTCTCCCATCAGCTGGGGACGGACAGGCAGACAGGGTGTATTCTCAGTGGGGACTCCACAGCAGAGCAGAGAAGGGGGCCATGGGGAGCACCCTCCTTGGCCCACAAATGGCAAAGCCTCCCCAAAAGCTGGCATGAAGGTGCCCCGTCGGCTGGAGCTGAGTCCAGTTAATTAATAGACCCCCTACCCCTCACACATAAAAGCTGGTCAGTTAGGAGAGATGGGAAGGAGGAAGCCTGGGCAGAGGGGATCCCTGACTAAAGGCATGTGGCTAAGAGAGCCCAGGAGATCCAGAGGCAGAGGGGACCATGAACTTGAAGGTGTGCCCAGTGGGCGGAGGAAGAGGGAGCACCATCATTCAGCAGGGGCCAGATGGTGACGGGCCTTGGACCCTTTGTGAAAGAGATGGCACTTCATCCTGAAAACGATGGGCGGCCCCTGGCGGGTCCCAGTCAGAGGGGTAGCTTGGCTTCCAGAGTGAGTGCATGGCACTCCTGACCACTGTCCGCTGATGCCAATTCACTCCCACTCTTGGTGTGACAAAAAGTGTCTCCTGGCATTGCCACACACCCTGGGGACAGAATCGGTGAGAATCACTGCTCTAGAAGAGCCTGGAGGTACCTGGGCATCAGCGTTGGACAAAGGCTTCCCCCCAGAATCCCCACACACACACACACTTACAGCCAGGTTGAAGAACCACCAAGGCGGAGGGTGAGGAAAGGGGAACAGGGTGCATTCTCACAATACCCCCGGAGGGTAGCTATCACCAGCCTCATCTTACAAACGGGGAAACCAAGCCTCCAAGAAGAGTAAGGACTTTCCCAGCTTCACACTAACCAGTGGTGCCAGGATTCAACCAGCACTCAAGTTTCCAGCTCCTAAGCCTGAGCGCCCTACGAAAGGGGCTGCTGGACAGAGCTGACTGGCCAGGTTCTGGCTGGGGTTCTGCCACTGAGTCCTCAGCCTCAAGCCTACCACCTCTCTGGGACACAGCTGGGACCTCCCCTTCAGCTGGGCCCTGGGGAGGCCCACAGGTTCTGCTGCACCGTCGGCTTGGCACCACCAGGGGGAGCTGTGACTGAGTCCAGACGGCGGGACCCAGGCCAGGACCAGAACCCACGCAGCCGGGTTCCCCAGCCCAGGACGCCACCCAGCTCAGTGAGCCTCCTGGGACCTGGAAGCTAATGGCTTCCTTTTATCTGCACTCTCAAATAACTGAGATAAGAGTTACCGGTTCACCTTGGGGCTCGAATGGACCACATCTTATTGGAGGGACGTGATCACGGAAAACCCGCCCCACAGTCACCCCTGCTGAGGCTGCAAAGCTTGGGTCCCTGCATCATGCCCCGCTGATCCTGGGCTAAATCAGCCTGGGGTGATCTTTCACGCTGCAGGTCTGGCGCAGACCCAGCTGGGTTCAAATCCCAGCCTGGCCCAGGCACTGGCTGGGTGACCTCTGGCCAGTCACTGACCTTCTCCGAGCCTGCCTTTCCCCTTCCATACCAGGAATAATATGAGGGCCCACCTTGAGGGGCATGGGGTTGTGCAGAGCACACACATGCACCATCCATAGCCCATGGTGTCCAGCACCCAGGCAAGGCCTGGGCCGCCTGCATCCAACATGCGCCCGGCTCACACCACGAGCTCAGTAGTTACTGACCTGCTCACTGGCTGATGTCAGCCCTGACTGTTGTCTGTGGTCAGCACCATTATTTGCCTAGAAATCTAATGAGCGTAAGGACCATAGCTAGGGCATAGGAAGGGGCTGTGTGAGTCGGACACGGGCCCTCTATGCTGGCTCTGGGGGTTCCAGGCCTAGGTGACCACACTGACGCCCACCGCAAGGCCAGGAGGACTCTCATGGCAATATGCAACCCTTCCCACTCAGGAAAGTCTCTTTGGGCTCCAAGGCCCAGGGGGCCCACCGCAGGGGGTCCGCTAGGGTGGCCACCAAGGGGTCCAGGTGCTCTGGGCAGACTCCCCGGGTGCACAGCGTAGCCAAGTCTGGTGACCATGTTCAACACTGCCTGGGGCTACATTCCCTCCTCTACAGTTACAAGACAGAGGGAGGCTGACACCTCCGGGGACCTCCAGGGGCAGGTCACGAGCCCGGTGGGCTCCAGGGTGGAACAGGAGGCTGGGACCAAGCAGAGCAGCATATCTGGGCTTGGGCCAGCCTTGTGCGTGAGCCTCACGATGCCACCGGACCTCTCGGGCACTCACTTGGGAAGTGACAATCTCTTGCCCTCCCGGCGATGGGAACAGGGACCAGGACTCCAGGGGACCTGGCCTCGGTCATGGACCGGGCAGACCTGGCAGGGTCGAGGCTGCCAAAAGCAAGGAGGGAGAATGTGGAAACCCCGTGGCACCCGCTTCAGAGCCCACGGGGCTCCTGCCGCAGCCGCAGGTGGGTCGGGCAGATGCCTCCAGTGCTTACCCGGCACCGCAGGTGACTGCTTCCCGCCCTGGTCAGGCCTTGGGGGCCTCCCGAGAGCCCCTGCCCAGAGCCAGGAACTCACCTGCTGTCGCTTTCCAGAAACACGGAGCCACGGTTTTCGGCCAGAGCTGCACTGATGGGTGAGAGGCAGAAGGGCGAGGAGAAGGCGTCTGAGTCCGAGTCGAAGGAGCTGTCCCTGCTCACGCCCTCAGCGGACAGCTCCAGGGAGCCATCCTCCTCCCCGGCCTCGGGCCGTGGCTCCCGCCCCTCCTCAGTGCCATCCTGCGAACTGACTGTTGACAAGATCCTGGAGGGGCTGCAGGCAGGCTGCAAGGCTGGCCGGGCACCGTCCACCGCCAAGCCCTGTGCCAGCTTCTCGTCGTCCTCTGGCGCAGGGCTGGCCAGCACACCGTCCGGAATACTCTGGGCCACCACCAGGATGTCCTCATCTTTGGGGGTCAGGGTGGGCCGCAGCTCCGTGGGAGAGGGCTGGTGGGAGGCCCCCGAGCTCCGGGCACGCCGGCCCCGAGGGCGGGGTGCCTTGCGAATGGGGGAGCTCTCTGGTGTGATGTAGCGCAGGGCCTCCTCATCCTGCCTCTGGATGCGAGAGTTGGGGACCCATGCCAGGATGAGGGTGGCTCCCAGCATCTCATCCTTCTCCATGTACAAGCACAGGTAACCTGTGAGGAGCCAAGGGGATGGTGCGTTAGAGGCTGGGATGCTGTGGATCAGGCCCTTATGGCACCTCTGGCAGCGGCTCCTGGATGCCACTGCCCTTTAGTAAAGCGCCAGTCGGGCTTCAGATACAGCCTGGCCCTGAGCAAAAGCACCAGGGGGAAACAATGGAGCTTGAAATGAGGTCCAGCTCCACATGCTTTCTAAGAACACACGCTCCAGCAGGTCCCCGGGCACTGGTCCCCGAGCTGCGGCCTGCCATTTGCCTTTCTGGTTTTGTGTTTTTGTTTTCAAGACAGTCTTGCTCTGTCTCAAGCTGGAGTGCAGTTGCACCATCTCAGCTCACTGCAACCTCCACCTTCCAGGCTCAATCGACCCTCCCACCTCAGCCTCCCAAGTAGATGGGACTACAGGCGCACGCCACCACACTGGCTGATTTTTTGTTTTTTAGCAGAGAGGGGTTTCACCTTATGGGCCAGGCTGGTCTCCATCTCTTGACCTTGTGATCCGCCCGCCTCAGCCTCACAAAGTGCTGGGGTTACAGGCGTGAGCCACCGCATCCGGCTGAACTTGTTTTTTTTTTTTTAATAGAGATGAAGTCTAGCTCTGTTGCCCAGGCTGGTCTCAAACTCCTGAGTTCAAGCAATCCTCCTGCCTCGGCCTCCCAAAGTGCTAGGATTATAGGCGCGAACCACCATGCTTCGGTAATCGTGTTAATATTCTGCCGTCTTATCTGGGGCTTCTCTCTGTATCCTTGCCCTGGCCAAGCAAACGTTAGGGCGTGCCAGTGCAGGCCACAGCCAGGCCACAGGACACGGGGGCCCTGAAACATCCTTTTGGCAGCCGGGGAAGGGGGGGGGCGACAGGAAGAAATGAGAAGAGAGAGTCCAGAGAGCCCTGCAGCCTCACCGCCTTCGCAGACGGCACTGTGCGGCCAAGAGCCGCTCAGCCTCTCTCAATGCCTGCGTCCTACCCATCCACGGGGCCTGCTGGGCCCTGGCCACTCTCATGAGGTTGCTGTGCAAGTCAAATAAAGCAACAGATGAAGAAAGCAATGCACTTATTTGGTCTTCTTTTTGGAGACAGAGTTCCACCTTGTCACCCAGGTTGGAGTGCAATGATGCGATCTCAGCTCACCGCAAACTTTGCCTTCTGGGTTCAAGGGATTCTCCTGCCTCAGCCTCCCAAATAGCCGGGATTACAGGTGTGCGCCACTACGCCTGGCTAATTTTTTGTATGTTTAGTAGAGACAGGGTTTTCCCATGTTGGCCAGGCTGGTCTCGAACTTCTGACCTCGTGATCCGTCCGCCTCAGCCTCCCAAAGTGCTGGGATTACAAGTGTGAGCCACCAGCTCCCGGCCAGTACATTTATTTGTTGCTGCAAGTCATTTGCATGAACGACAAGGGGCCAGGCAGGCCTCAGGGATCACTAACCATCTTTTTGTCCCCCCCTCTGAAAGCAGCAGGGCTGAGGGTCTCACCCAGCCTGCCATGAGCCGGACCTAATACCCCAGAGCCTGCTTCTGTGAGGACAGCTGCAGCTAGTTACACATTCTGGAAAAGGAACCAAATGCACTTGTCTTTCTTCTGTGTGTGGCCTAGGGCCTTGGAAAACCGGGGCCGTGAGACCCTGGAGCCTGCTGGCCCAGCTCACCTGGGTGGTGCTCCCCCAGCCCCTGCAGCCCCTCCGGGGGGTGCACGCAGACATTGTTCTTGGAGTAGATGATCTCTCCATCCAGGACGGAGGGGGACCCGCTGCTGCTGCCAGCCGGGGTGAGGGTCAGGAGGTCCGAGGCTTTGGAGGAGGCCCGGCGAAGGAGGCGGCCCAGAGACATTGCTGGGCAAGTGTTTCCATCCTCCGCACGCTTTGGCCCAGGCAGGGCTCAACAAGACCTGCCTGGGGAGGAAGACAGAGGAGATGGTCAAGGGCGTGGACTTGCATCCCACCTCACAGCAGACCATGTGGCCTCGGCACCTGGTGGATGGTGGTTAACCACAGGAGCGCTTCCTGCTGGTGCACAGCTCCCGTACAGGGCAGGCCACATTCTCCACCTCGGCCAGGCCACCTGTGCGTCACAGGGACTCAACCCATGGATGCCACCAGTACCTCCCTTCCCAGGAAAACAGCCAGAACATCTCCAGGCTTTGCCAAATGTGCCCTGGGGGGCAAAATCCCTCCCAAGCAGAACCACTAAGCTACGGGAACCCTGTTCCCACCTCAACCATTTCATAAAACCCTCCAGGTGTTCTCTTTTCTCAGCTTCCCTCCTGCGTCAGCACAAATGAGCCCTTCCAATTCATCAAAAAGAAATAAATAGGCTGAGCTCAGTGGCTCACACCTGTAATCCCAGCACTTTGGGAGGCCGAGGCAGGCGGATCACTTGAGGTAAAGCGATCGAGACCAGCCTGGCCAACATGGTGAAACACCATCTCTACCAAAAATATAAAAATTAGCCAGGTGTGGTGGTGGGCACCTGTAATCCCAGCTACTTGGGAAGCTCATGCAGGAAAATCGCTTGAACCTGAGAGGTGGAGGTTGTAGTGAGCCGAGATCATACCCCTGCACTCCAGCCTGGGTGACAGAGTGAGACTCTGTCTCAAGAAAAAGAAAGAAGGAAATTTTATAAACAAAAGGATTATTATCCAGAATATATAAAGAATTCCTACAAATTCATAGTGAAAAGGAGCAACATCTCAACAGAAAAAATGGGTGCTCCACACAAGAAAAATGCCAGAGCACTGATAAACATGTAAAAAGATTCTCAGTTTCTTATTTTTCTTTTTCAGACTGGGTCTCACTCTGTCGCCCAGGTTGGAGTGCAGTGCTGCAATCTCAGCTCACTGCAACCTCTGCCTCCCGGGTTCAAGATTCTCCTGTCTCAGCCTCCCAAATAGCTGGGATTACAGGTGTGCACCACCACACCCAGCTAATTTTTGTATTTTTTTTTTAGTAGAGACAAGGTTTCACTATATTTGTCAGGCCGGTCTCGAATGCCTGATCTCAGGTGATCCACCTGCCTCAGCCTCCCAAAGTGCTGGGATTACAGACGTGAGCCACCACTCCTGGCAAGATTCTCAGTTTCAAATAAAAATTCAACACCCAACAGACCGGCAAAGAGCAATTTTAAGTCTAAAACGACTTCATGTTGGAGAGGATGAGGGAAAGGGGAGCTCTCACCAGCCCTGTCTCCTCCAAGGCGAGACAGACCTGGCAGGATCCCGCATCCCTGAGAAGCCCTGACCCGCCCAAAAGTCCACCTTTAGGAACTACCTGAGGGAAGTTCTTCAGACTGCAATTTGCAGCCCTATTGTAGATCCTGAAATCAAGTTAATGGGTCAACACCAGCATAAGAGGAATAAAAGGAGAAAAATATAGCAAATGGCATCCAACACTGGCCGTGGCCAGGCTCAGCACTGGGTCAGGGAGAGTCTGCTCCATGAGGACACACCTGCGTGGGTGACAGCCTGGGGCGTATAACGTGTATATACTGTGCGATGTGACCTAAAACACTTGATGGCTCTGCCTGGGGAAACCCAAGGAGACACCTCCTCCAACACTTTACAGCCAGTTTCTACCAACCAAACGTCTAAATGGCCAGAAACCACCAAACGTCTAAACGGCTGATGAGAACCAATGAGACTTCTGTACACCCATGGAGCTCACAAACACACACACCAAGACACACCAGGGAATGACCATGTCGATGAAGAGGCAGGCACGGCCTGGCACAGGGGCTCACGCCTGTAATCCCAACATGCTGGGAAGCCAAGGTGGGTGGATCATCTGAGGTCAGGAGTTTGAGACCGGTCTGCCCAACATGGCAAAACCCCGTCTCTACTGAAAATACAAAAAACATTAGCCAGGGGTGGTGGCACAAGCCTGTAATTCCAGCTACTCGGGAGGCTGAGACAGAAGAATCGCTTGAACCAGGGAGGTGGAAGTTGCAGTGAGCTGGGATTGCGTCACTGCACTCCAGCCTGGACAACAGAGTGGGACTCCGTCACCAAAAAAGCAGGCACAGAGCCATGCTGCATCCTGGTCACTGACGGCGGATGTCCAGGACTCCGACCACAGCTGGGCTGCATGCAGGCCGCCTTCACAAAAGTCTGCAGAGGTCGGGGGGCTGAGAGAGAACAGTCTCAGAGGGGCTTCACCTTCATCTCTTTGAAGGGAAAAAAGACTTGAAGCCAACATAAGAATTAGCAACTGGAAGTGAATAAAGCAAATGTGGTCCAGTGAAATATTATTTGGCCTTGAAAAGAAAGAAAACTCTGATACCTGCTACAGCACGGATGAGCCCCAAAAACACTGTGCTGAGTGAAACAGACAGGTCACAAGAGGCGAGTGCTCAGTTGGGCATGGGGGCCTGTAATCCCAACACTTTGGGAGGCTGAGGTGGGCAGATCACGAGGTCAGGAGTTCAAGACCAGCCTGGCCAATATGGTGAAACCCCGTCTCTACTAAAAATACAAAAATCAGCTGGGCATGGTGGCGGGTGCCTGTAGTCCCAGCTAGTCGGGAGGCTGAGGCAGAATCGCTTGAACCGGGAGCCAGGACCCGGGAGGAGGAGGCTGCAGTGAGCCGAGATCGCGCCACTGCACTCCAGCCTGGGCTATGGAGCAAGACCAAAAGAAAAAAAGGCAAGTACTGCAGGATCCCACCTACGTGAGGCGCTAGAGTGGTCAGGCTCCTAGACAGGAAGCGGAACCGCGGGGGCCAGGGGAGGAGGGGGACAGGGAGGTGGCATTTAAGGGGACAGGGCTTCAGCTTGGGATGATGAAAGCATCCTAGAGGACAGCAGCGGCAGCTCTACCACATCAATGCGGCTGAACCTGATACTTTAAAACGGTCAAAGTGGCCGGGTGTAGTGGCTCACACCTATAATCCCAGCACTTTGGGAGGCCGAGGCAGGTGGATCACGAGGTCAAGAGATCGAGACCATCCTGGTCAACAAGGTGAAACCCCGTCGCTACTAAAAGTACAAAAAATTAGCTGGGCATAGTGGTGGGCGCCTGTAGTCCCAGCTACTCGGGAAGCTGAGGCAGAATTGCTCGAACCCAGAAGGCAGAGGTTGCGGTGAGATTGTGCCATTGCCCTCCAGTCTGGGTAACAAGAGCGAAACTCCGTCTCAAAAAAAAAAAAAAAAAAAAAAGATCAAAGTGGTAAGTTTTATGTTATATGTATTTCACCACAATAAAAAGTTAAAAAGTATCCACTGGTGGAGGGTCTCCGGGTATATTATCTCGTTCTTTGAAATTTCTGAGTTTTTTTACACTTTGGATCCAAAGATCCAGAGCTGCTTGAGGGAGGCCCCTAAATCAAGTTCTTTTCACGTCCAGCACTTGGCGGGGTTCTGGATCACCCGGAGGGTGGGTGAGTGGGTAAGGGGACCGAGAACTGGCTCCACTCTGGCAGGACACAGGGGGCAAATCGCAGTGGTGCTGGCCGCCATCCTAGGACCAGGCTGCACAGCCCTCTCTGCCTCTCCCTCCTCTGCCCCCCTCTGTGCTTCAGCCTCCCCCAACCCCGTGTGTGTATTTCCAAGCGTCTCCACGGCTGCTGACTTTCCAAGCACAATATTCGAAGATGTTCCAGCCAGCTCAGGAGTGGCCTTCCCATTCCTGTGCCTTTCATTCCCATTCCCCATCTCAGAGATCCCGATGTCAGCGTCACTTGTGAACATCACCAGTCCTGGGGCTGAGGACAGAGCTTCACCTCCTCAGCCGTGAGCCATGGATGCCCTCTGCCTGAGCTCCACCATGTCCAGGGCCCTCATCCACTCAGCTCTCCCAAGCCACCCCTTCTTATACCCCCACAAATGCCCAATGAAGGCTGCAGAAGGTCGACCCTTGGTGCAGGGGTCAGCAAACTTGTTCTGCCCCACCCACCCCGGGCCCGACAGTCTCCATGGCAACCACTCGGCTCTGCCCTTAGGGTGCAGGAGCAGCCACAGACAGTAAGTGACCCGTTTCACTGTAACAGCGAAGCTTTATTGACAGACATGGAGGCTTATATTCTAGATCATTTTTCACATGTCCTAAAAAAAATTTTTTCCACTTTTTTAACCCCCTAAAAAATGTAAAAACCATCCCTAACTCACAGGCTGTACAAGACACGTGGAAAGCTGGCTTTGGTCTGAGCGTTGCAGATGGCAGTGCCCCAGCATAGACCATCTGACCAAACCCGGGCACTCTCCTCTGCCTATCCAAACCAGCTCCGGATCAGCCTCTCCAGGAAGCCTTCTGGCCACTCCTGGCCATGCCACAAAGTGACATATGACAACCAAGTGATGAAACTTTTAAAAAAAGTCACACTGCAAACTACAAATCAAAAAATGTACTGTCCTTCTCAATGATCACTTGCAAAAGCTATGTTCTATTCTAACGCTGTCCAGAATATTTTTAGAATTTAACAATTCTTTAAGAATTGCAAGGTCAGTTAATAAGCCATTCAAGAAAATTACTCCCCTTTCTCTAGACCAGCCACGTCCACAAAAAACATTACCAGAGACACATATACAATTTTAAATTTTCTGGTAGCCACATTTTAAAACTTAAAAAAAAAAATCCAAGTGAAATTAATTTTAGTAATTTTTAACACAGTATATCCAAAATATTATTTCAGCTTGGACTACAGACGCATGCCACCATGACCCAATAGTTTTTTTTTATTTTTGGTAGAGATGAGGTCTCACTTTGTTACACAGACTGGTCTTGAACTTCTGGCCTCAAGTGATCCTACTGCCTCAGCCTTCCAAAGTGTTGGTATTACAGGCATGAGCCACTGCGCCCGAACTATTTTATGTCCTTAAAGTCTTCAAAGTCTGCTGTGCATTTTGTACTTAGGCACATCAGAGTTCTGCCCAGCCACATTTTGGATGCACCGTAGCCTGCCTGGCCGTGGTGTCCACAGTGGATGAGGCCACAGCAGGGCTAGCGCTTCCTTCTGTGTTTCATGCAGCATTACTCAGGGTGACGGCCCCAGTCACCAGAGCTGGCTACACACAGCTCTCAGCTGCTTCTCCACATCAAAAACCTCTTTACGTGAAAATGTTTTCCCAGCACGAGGATAATCAAAAGAATGTGCTAGAAGTTTTAAAAGAGATTCCAAAATACAAGTGTTCAAAATACAGTGTTTTTTCTCCCATCCCATGAGATGTGGAATCTCACCATGGCTCTGGGAGGTGCATCCCAAGAGCCCAGTTTTGCAGATGAGACGACAGGTTCTGAGTACCCAGGGTCATTCAGTGAGCGGGAAACCCTGGAGTAGGAGACCTCTGTCCCCAACGTGCAGAACTCTGGCTCCTCCCTCAACTGCCACGTGAGAGCACCAGGGCAATACCCTGCCCCTCTCAGATTGTTCTGGAGAGTCTGGGCTCTTTTTGGAGACATGGAGAATGTCTGTTAAACATTAGACAAGACTATTTGCTCTCTAAAAACAATTCCACTTATTTTTAAAATGTATCTGCGGCCGGGTGCGGTAGCTCACACCTATAATCCCTGCACCTCGGGAGGCCGAGGTGGGCCAATTGCCTGAGCCCAGGAATTGGAGACCAGCCTGGGCAACACAGTAAACCCATCTCTACTAAAATACAAAAAATTAGCCAGGCGTGGCGGTGGGCGCCTGTAGTCCCAGCTACTCGGGAGGCTGAGGCAGGAGAATTGCTTGAACCTGGGAGGCAGAGGTTGCAATGAGCCGAGATCGTACCACTGCACTCCAGCCTGGGCAACAGAGCAAGACTCCGTCTCAAAAAACTAACTAAATAAATAATAAAATAAGATGTATTTGCTCTTTTGCAAGGCTATCTCATTGAAATTTAACCTAGTTTCCAAACTCTGGTCACCATCAAATTGGAAATGGAGAATCCTTGACATGTTTTTTTAAACTTTTTTTTTAGTTATGAAACACACTCAGAGAAGTAAAAGGAAGAATATGAGTTTCTTAAATTACATAATCCTAAGACATTTGTGTATTTTCTATCTTCTGTGCCCTGTAATGAATGAATTAATTAAAAAACCCACTCCCTGGAATTATATCATATCTTGCTTTCAGTTGGATCATAAATATACTTTCCCAGGTGAAATATATTTATGATATAATAAATTTTAGGATTGAGGTCTATCTTCTAAAATTCCCGTGTTGAAGTCTGAAACCCCAGTACCCAAGAATGAAACTGTTTTAGAAGACAGTGTCTTTATAGAGGTGATCAAGTTACCCTGAGGTCAATATGACCCATGTCTTTATAAAAAGAGGAAGTCAGGGGACAGGTGCCTGTATACAAGGAGTGCTGTGTGAATACAAAGATTGCACCTACCAGCAAGGGGCAGGCCTGGAGGAAGGAAGAGAGCCTGCCAACACCTTCGTCTTGGACTTCCTGTCTCCAGAGCTGTCAGAGAGAAAAGTTCTATTGTTCAAGCCACCCGGTCCCTGCCACTTTGTGAGGTCAGTCCTAGCAAATAAACACACCACATTCAAAAATTATAAAGCCAGGTGTGGTGGTTCATGCCTATCATCCCAGCATTTTGGGAGGCCGAGGCCGGCGGATCATCTGAGGTCAGGAGTTCAAGACCAGCCTGGCCAACATGGTGAAACCCCGTCTCTACTAAAAAATAACAAAAATTAATCGGGCATAGGGGTGAGTGCCTATAGTCCCAGCTACTCAGGAGGCTGAGGCAGGGAGAACTGCTTGAGCCTAGGAGGTAGAGGCTGTAGCAAGCCTAGATTTCGCCACTGCAGTCACTCCAGCCAGGGGGACAGAGCGAGACTCCATCTCAAAATAAATAAATAACAATTACAAATGCCAGCCCTCCATCTTCATAGAACCAGCTGCCATGGCGAGGCATTCGGCTTCCAACCAGTGGCTACTTAAATAATCAACTCCACTTTTTAATACATAAATCTTCATCTATATCCTCATTATTTCCAGGACCACTGTTTCCCCAGGAGGATAAACTGGACCCCAACACCTATTGCCCAGTGGGTTCTCTAAAATGTAAGCGTGCTACCAGGGATTTAAATCGTCACCAGGTTCGGAACAGAAAAATGGTGTTCTGGCCGGGCACAGTGGTTCACACCTGTAATTCCAACAATTTGGGAGGCCAAGGCGGGAGGGTTGCTCAAGCCCGAGAGTTCAAAACCAGCCTGGGCAACATAACGAGATCCCACCTCTACAAAAAATTTAAAAATTAGCTGGGTGTGGTGGTGTGTGCCTGTAGTCCCAGCTACTTGGGAGACTGAGGCAGATCACTTGAGCCCAGGAGGATGCACTGAACAGGACTGCACTACCTACCACACCCCGGGTGACAGATTATCCTATATTTATTAGACATTTGTGTTCACCTGTGAATTATCTGTCAGTGTGCTCTGCCAATTTTTCTGCTGGGGTAGTGGAATTCTTAATATTCGTAACACAGAGATTAAACTAAGATGGAATTTTCATTGATACGTAGGAACTCTTTATATAGCAAAGATCATTATCCTTTGCTGTATTTGTTGCATGTATTTCTCCTAACTTGTTGTTTACCTTTTATTGATATTATCTATTTTGACACACAGAAGTTTTAAACTTATGTAAACTGATGGTAACTTTTTCTTAGTGATTTCCTTTATGACTTTTATACTTAATATAATCCTTTACAAGCTAAAGATCTTTAAACATTGGTCTATATTTTCTTCTATGTTCAATGAACCACCACGCCTAGCTAATTTTTGTATTTTTTTTAGTAGAGACAGGATTTCACCATGTTGGCCAGGCTGGTCTCAAACTCCTGACCTCAGGTGGTCTGCCCACCTCGGTCTCCCAAAGTGCTGGGATTACAGGTGTGAGCCTCCACACCCATCCCTGTTTTTTGTTTGTTTGTTTTGGTTTGGTTTTTTTTGAGACAGAGTCTCACTCTGCCACCTAGGATGGAGTGCAATGGCACAATCTTGGCTCACAACAACCTCCGCTTCCCAAGTTCAGCCTATCCTCCTGCCTCAGCCTTCCATGTAGCTGGGATTACAGGTGCCCGCCATCACATCTGGCTAATTTTTGTATTCTTGGTAGAGATGGGGTTTCTCCACGTTGGCCAGCCTGGTCTTGAACTCCTGACCTCAGGTGACCTGCCTGCCTCGGCCTCCCAAATGCTGGGATTACAGGTGTTAGCCACTGTGCCTTGCCAGGGACATTTATTATATAAAACTTTATGGACAATTTTAAAAGAGGTGCCTTGGCTGTGACCCGGACACCCGTGCAGTTCTCACACTCTAACACGCTCTGGTGAGAGTAACGCTGGTCACAGGCAAGGTTTAGCGTGAGATGGACAGGTGGGGTGGTTTTAATTTCCTCCCCTAGGCCGCCCCTCCACCCTGCCGAATAAAACACATTTTCAGAAAGTCACAGGATGTCCCTTCCAGAGACCAAGCCCAGCAGCTCCTCTCCCTTAATGGTCAGGCGGCCCTCCAGGGGTACTGCCAATGGGCCCTGGTGACGGCTGCTGGGCGCTACCATGGTACCGTGCCCAGGCAGCCAATGCCCTCCATTCCCTCCTGATGCCCCGCAGTCTCACTCAGTGCAGCCACCGTTTCCCAGGAGCCTAGGGCAAGCTCACTGGAGACCATTCCCTGCAGAGGCCCACGACCCCTGCGGCCATTTCTCCCCGGATCTCGATTCTGCTTTGCGTGGCCACTGCTTAAAGAGATGGTCAGGGCCACCTGGTCCTTCCAGAGGTTCCTCACCCGGGTGCAGGCCAGGAGGAAGAACTGCCGCCAGGCTCCGGGGCTCAGGGCGTGGCCCTGCTCCCTCAGTGACCCGCCTGGATTCCCCGGGGGCTTCCCTCCCCCCAGCCCAGCCACAGTCACAGCCACAGTCACAGCCGAGTGTGTCGAGGCTGCCCTCATCTCCCCGCCAGCATCTCCAGCCACAGTATGAATTTCCATTCAGGTTCCAAAATCCACCTTGGCAGCGCCCTCATTCTGCAGCTCCACCGAGTCCTCCAGCCAGGGAAGAGAGATCTGAGTTTAACCCGACCCTGTCAGAGGATGGGGAGGAACGAGCTCCTGGGACAGGGCTCCCAGGTCCCTCCAGGATGAGGCCAGAGGAAAAAACACAGCAGCTCAGGACGCAGCCCTTGGGGAGTTCGGGTGAGACCCAACTCCTGCGGGGAGTGCACGGGCCCAAATCCCTCACCAGCCAGCTAGGGAGAAGAAGCTTCCAGCAACAAAGCACAGCTGTGGGCCAAGCAGCCCTCCCCGGCGCTATCCACAGCCCCCACAGCCCCCGCCCCAACCAGAGGCCCCATCTCTGACCCGACAGGCAGGGCTGCAGGGGGCACACCCCTCGGACCCCCAGCCTCGTGGAGATCCCAAACCCATGGCTGCTGCTCCCGCCCCAGAGGAGTCGGAGGCCATGTGTGTGCACCCACATGTGTGCACCCACCACACACACAGCAGACACACTACACACACATCACAGACACACACGTCACACACCAGACACATACACCATAGACATACCACACAACACACCATAGTCACACACACTACACACACATCATAGACACACACACCATAGACATACACATTACATATACACCATAGACACACATGCCACACACACCACACACCAGACACACACACTACACACATACCATAGACATACCTCACACACACCACACCATAGACACACACATCATAGACACACACACTACATACACACCATAACACACACTACATACACACCAGACACACATACCACACATGATACACCACAGACACACATACCACACACATCATACACACATGCCACACACTACACCAGACACAAACTACATACACACCACACATACCACACACCAAAGACATACCATACACGTCATACACCATAGACACACAGCACATACTACATACACATCATAGACACAAACACTACATACACACCACACACCATAGACACACACACACCACACACCCCATAGATACACACTGTAGACACACACCACACAAACACCATAGATACATACACCACACACCACAGGCACACTGCACACACACCATAGACACACACTACACACAACCCCACAAGCACACACTACACACACGCACCATATATGCGCATTACATAACATTCCACATACACCATAGACACACACCACAGATGCACACATACCATGACAGAGGCACACACACTATGACACACACCTCATGACACACACCATGAAACACACACACCAGACACACACACCCCCACCATGACACCCACCGTGAACAGACACCCTCTGCTATACCAGCTTTGCCTCCATTCTCCACCAGCACCAGTGTTGACCCCCAGCCGCTGCCTGGCCCCACTCCTTCCCAGCTGCCTCCAGGATTAGGGAAGCCCCAGGTGGATCCAGGGCCGCAGGAGCCTCCCTACCAAGCCCCACGCTCGGCTATCTCGGCTAGCTCGGCTATCTCGGCTAGCTCGGCTGTCCTGGGTTTGTAAGCACGTCAGCCACCTGTCATCAAGCGGCAGGAAGTGCAGGCACTGTGAGCTGGGCGGGGGGGGGGGGGGGGCGCCTGGGCTCTGAGGACTGAATAAGGGGCCTGGCAAATGCCCCCCAGAGAGCCCTAGAGAGCCTTGCAACAGCCCTGTCCCCTGGGCTTCAGGGCCTGCCTGCTGGGAGCATCCCCCTGCTAGAAGAGCCCCCCCTGCTTGGAGCACCCCCCTGCTAGGAGCACCTCCCTGCTAGGAGCATCCCCCTGCTTGGAGCACCTCCCTGTTAGGAGCACCCACCTTCTTGGAGCACCTCCCTGCTAGGAGCACCCCCCTGCTTGGAGCACCTCCCTTCTTGGAGCACCTCCCTGCTAGGAACACCCCCCTGCTTGGAGCACCCCCCTTCTTGGAGCACCTCCCTGTCAGGAGCACCTCCCTGCTATTGGAGCACCTCCCTGCTATTGGAGCACCTCCCTGCTAGGAGCACCTCCCTGCTATTGGAGCACCTCCCTGTCAGGAGCACCTCCCTGCTATTGGAGCATCTCCCTGTCAGGAGCACCTCCCTGCTAGGAGCACCTCCCTGCTATTGGAGCACCTCCCTGTCAGGAGCACCTCCCTGCTATTGGAGCACCTCCCTGTTAGGAGCAACCCCCTGCTTGGAGCACTTCTCTGCTAGAAGCACCTCCTTGCTGGGAGGACTCCCCTGCCAGGAGCCACCCCCTCTAGAAGCACCCTCCTGCTAGAGTGGCACTAATGGCCACTGGCTTGTCCAGGACAGTGGTCTCTGGTCCCTTGGTTGTGTCTGTAAGAGCCAGGGACCATGGAATGTTCACCTGGCGGTGTCACACGGTTCCTTCCTCACACAGCAGGAACAGAAATGCAGAGAATGGCATCCAGCCCTTCTTAAGGACTCTGGATCCATGAGACAGGAAGCC